CAGAGTGACAGGGAAATGAACTCATCAGTTTCCTGCTTCTTCTCTCATTGTCCAATCACAGACTGGGGGAGGGACAAAACCTGGAAATGTAATGTAACTGCAGCAAAGAAAACTCAAGTCTTCTGCCCTGCCAGACCGGACTGTTATGTGCTGCAGAGCTGTGTAAATCTGAGGACAGGATGGACAGAAATACAAATCCTTTGGCAGGTACATCAGCTCGGATATGTGCATTTAGCGGTTGCCCGGAGTTATATGATTTGCTTTAGTCTGTGAGTATTTTATTGCAGTGTTCAGGAGGTGAGCTCTGCAGTCATTCACTTGTTACACCACTTGTTGTTGCGGACTGACAACTCATGGGGCCCCCGGTCAATAGGGGATCATGGGGCCCCTGTGTCCTCACCCACACTCAAACCACACCCAAAAAAGTCTATGAAAGGTACCGGAGGCATCTCATGGGGCCTGCTACTGACCCCGGGCCCTTGGGCAGTGCCTGAGTTCCCAAATGGTCAGTCCGCCCCTGCCTCTAGGATATGCAGTCAAATGTTTAGTAAGAATTCACGTTTTATCTGACGCTGCCGGTAAATGTGTCATTTTCTGTCATTTCTAGTAAAGCATCTGAAGAATCTGGGTTGTTGTGAAGCGAGGATAGTGTCAGCATTTCTCCCATAAAAAGACTCCAGAAATAGCGAAGGTGCGGGATGAAGGGCGTGCGTTTACCTCCTGGAATCGATACTTTTCTGCTGCCATTAATGTATTTTATTGATTCTCTTTTATGACATATCCTGCCCCGCTTTTCATATTGTGCCAACCTTTCATCCAGTCATAGTAAGGTCATCACCGCTGTCGCAGAACCTCTTAGGATGTGTTGGATCGCCCATTACACTTTTCTTTTTGCTGTTTTTGAAAGTAAACTTCAGGACTCTGGGGGGGTTGATTTACTAAAGGCAAATAGACGGTGCACTTTGCAAGTGCAGTTCCTCCAGAGCTTAGTAAATGAGGGGAAGCTCTGCTGACTTCCATCATCCAATCACTTCCAAACTGCACAGTCTATTTGCCTTTAGTAAATCAACCCCAATGTCTCAGCCATCCACTGCTTGGTCCAGGCAGATGAACCCCAATGTCTCAGCCATCCACTGCTTGGTCCAGGCAGATGAACCCCAATGTCTCAGCCATACATTGCTTGGTCCAGAAAGATGAACCCCAATGTCTCATCCATCCATTGCTTGGTCCAAGCAGATGAACCCCAATGTCTCAGCCATCCATTGCTTGGTCCAGGCAGATGAACCCCAATGTCTCAGCCATCCATTGCTTGGTCCAGGCAGATGAACCCCAATGTCTCAGCCATCCATTGCTTGGTCCAGAAAGATGAACCCCAATGTCTCAGCCATCCATTGCTTGGTCCAGGCAGATGAACCCCAATGTCTCAGCCATACATTGCTTGGTCCAGGCAGATGAACCCCAATGTCTCAGCCATACATTGCTTGGTCCAGAAAGATGAACCCCAATGTCTCAGCCATCCATTGCTTGGTCCAGGCAGATGAACCCCAATGTCTCATCCATCCATTGCTTGGTCCAGGCAGATGAACCCCAATGTCTCAGCCATCCATTGCTTGGTCCAGGCAGATGAACCCCAATGTCTCAGCCATACATTGCTTGGTCCAGAAAGATGAACCCCAATGTCTCAGCCATCCATTGCTTGGTCCAGGCAGATGAACCCCAATGTCTCAGCCATACATTGCTTGGTCCAGGCAGATGAACCCCAATGTCTCAGCAATCCATTGGTTGGTCCAGGCAGATGAACCCCAATGTCTCAGCCATCCATTGCTTGGTCCAGGCAGATGAACCCCAATGTCTCATCCATCCATTGCTTGGTCCAGGCAGATGAACCCCAATGTCTCAGCCATCCATTGCTTGGTCCAGGCAGATGAACCCCAATGTCTCAGCCATCCATTGCTTGGTCCAGGCAGATGAACCCCAATGTCTCAGCCATCCATTGCTTGGTCCAGGCAGATGAACCCCAATGTCTCAGCCATCCATTGCTTGGTCCAGGTAGATGACAGGGATAAGGTGAATGTTATTATATTTTACAGTATATTTATATTATATCTTATCCTGACTGAAAACAAATGTCCAGTCCAAATGTTTGTTTATTGAACATAGAGGAATTGGTTTACTAAAGGCAATTAGACGGTGCACTTTGCAAAGTGCATTTGCTCCAGAGCTTAGTAAATGAGCAGAAGCTCTCCTGACTTCCATCATCCAATCATGTGTGAGTAAATATGTAGTTTTTTTTAATTTTCTTTTATATTCTTGGCAAAGTGACGCTTCACTTCATTTACTAAGCTCTGGAGCAACTGCACTTTGCAAAGTGCACCGTCTATTTGCCTTTAGTAAATCCACCCCTATGTCTGTCTCGGACAGACAGCTTACACTTTTTATCGGCTTGTTAATATTACATGAAGGTGATGAAAGAAAGAAAGAAAGCAAACATCTATACCAGGGGCGGACTGATCATTTGGAAACTCGGGCACTGCCCAAGGGCCCGGGGTCAGTAGGGGGCCCCATGAGATGCCCCTGGTACCTTTTTCATGGCTCTATGGTGCTGGGCAGTGAGCACGGGGCCCTTTAGAGGACGTCGGGCCCTCAGGCCACCCTCATGAAGTCTGTTTCTGATTGTTTGGTCAGAGGCATTCACACCAGTGGCCTGCTGGAGGTCATTTTGTAGGGCTCTGGCAGGGCTCATCCTGTTCCTCCTTGCACAAAGGAGCAGATACCGGTCCTGTTGATGGGATAAGGACCTTCTACAGCCCTGTCCAGCCCTCCTAGAGTAACTGCCTGTCTCCTGGAATCTCCTCCATGCTCTTGAGACTGTGCTGGGAGACCAGCAAACCTTCTGGCAATGGCATGTATTGATGTGCCATCCTGGAGGAGTTGGACTGCCTGTGCAACCTCTGTAGGGTCCAGGTATGGCCTCATGCTACCAGTAGTGACACTGACCCTAGCCAAATGCAAAACTAGAGAAAAACAGTCAGAAAAAATGAGTAGGGAAAAAAAATGTCAGTGGCCTCCACCTTTAAAACCATTCCTGTTTTGGGGGTCGTCTCATTGTTGCCCATCTAGTGCACCTGTTGGTAATTTCATTAACACCAAAGCAGCTGAAACTGATGAACAACCCCCTCTGCTACTTACCTGACCAGATCAATATCCCAGGAGTTTCATTGACTTGATGCAAGACTCTGATTAAAATTGTTTCTTTAAATTTTTTTGAGCAGTGTATAATATTTGATGGTTTCGTGTAATCTTGAAGTAATTTTAAGCATGTGTGCAAAAAAATGAAAAAACGGCTCTGGCAGTGAAAGGGTTAAAATAATTTTACAGCCTGCTAGAATTCTATTATTAATTGTCCCGACATACCCGGTTGTTTGAACCTGTCGATCCTGCCAATGCTGCCCTTTTTTCCTGTCAAGGGCTGACAACGCTGTGCTCCCAGGGGCGGACTGACCATTTGGAAACTCGGGCACTGCCCGAGGGCCCAGGGCCAGTAGGGGGCCCCATGAGATGCCCCTGGTACCTTTTTCATAGGCTTTTTTGAGTATGGGCAAGGACACAGGGGCCCCATGATCCCCTATTGCCCGGGGCCCCATGAGTTGTCAGTCCGCCCCTGAGTGGAGTGTCCAGGGGCGGACTGACCATTCAAGCACTCAGGCACTGCCCGAGGGCCCAGGGTAAGTAGGGGGCCCCATGAGATGACTTTTCATAGGCTTTTTTGGGTGTGGGCGAGGACACAGGGGCCCCATGAGTTGTCAGTCCGCCCCTGTATGCCACCACCACTATAATTGGTGCTGCACCCGATTTTGCACTCTCCAATTTTTGTGAATCAACCCTTCTGTATTATAGGGGTCCACACTGCCCCCCCCCCTCCCCAGTGTCTCCCAGAATGCTGACACACTGCTAATGTTTGTGATCCTGCGTCTTCCTTCTGTGCAGCTCATTGGCACCTTTTGGTTTGTAAACATTACCGCATGGCATTAAAGATTAATGAAGCATCCATATTTTATAAGCGCAGGCATGCGAGGGCAGACAGCAGCTCCTATGCAGCCCAATGCCGGCACTGATGACACGTCCCGGGGGGGAGATAAAACAATCTATTAGAGCCGGTCTCTCCATCCCGACAGAGCGGAATCACACAATCCATCCAGAGCCTCCGTATTACTCCATCCCTTGTTATGTCATCCCATCTGAAAGGGACAACGGGGAGAAGATGTCATTCTGGATTGAATATCTATAAATTTACTGCATTTACAGAATCGTGCTAAAAACATAACAATTGCAAGAATCGGAATTTCTTGCTCATAGGTGAAACTTCAGGGAAATGGTTAAATACACATTACAAAAACAATAAATCTGAACTCCACGGAAAGTAAAAAAGCATCCTTTGGCTGCGCCTGCAAGGGTTAAATGTTCTTTTAGGTCTAGGGTAATATAAAAGCACTTTTACTTACCTGATCCTCTGCTCCTGCAGGCTTCCACCCCGTTGTAAGGCCAGTTCCCACAGGCTCTTCTATGCTTTGCTGCAGCGGTGGTAGACCCTCTGACGTCATCAGGTCCAATGCAGAGCCCATAGCCCTGCATTGGATGTGTGGATGCCAAAGAACAGTCCACTGCTGTAGGGGAGGGGAGTAGAGGAGAGCGCCATCTGCTGCTGGAATGGAGGATGGGGAAAGTAAAACCATTTTCTTGCTCTCCTAAGGCGCCATGTACACGGGACACTTCTGAACGATGGAATCTGACTGCTGGAAAACGTAGGTTAAAAAAAACGTCTGTTTAGCCGCAGTAGCATACCACGTTTATGCGCGTTTGCATTTAGAAGCGTTTTTTTTTTTAAAGATAAGCACAGGAGAACCTCCCAAATGCCCAGAATGCACTGAAAAGCAGTAAATTATTAACTATTTCAGACTGTTTCAGAGAAATACAGAGAGTAGAAGCAGAGACAGCAGTATGTGTGGAGATTAGCTTAGGTGTGAGTTGCTCATTAACATTTCTTTTGTTTGCAAGGGTAGGAAAGGTGTCTGGTGGAGGGAGTCATTAAGGCCACCTGGCAGGGGGTCTTCATGAGGAATTTGAGGTGTGAATGGTTATTATACAGTATTTATTATACAGTATTTATATAGCGCCAAAGGGTATGCTCCTAAGGCTATTAACATATCTTTTGTTTCCAAGGGTGGGAGAGGTCTGAGGTGTGAATTGGTCATTACAATGTGTGACAAGCTTGGTAGGAACATCCTGTGTTCAGTGTTTTGTCCATCTGAATACCTTGAAAACGCTTTGCATGCATTTTTCATGATGAAAAAAGGCTCTGGGACAGCATTGGGAACTGGAATAGTAAAAAAAAATTTTCAAGAGCTTATAAATGCGATTTGCCACGTTTACAAGCATTTTGCATTTGAAAAGGTGATAAAATCGACTGCTGAACGCAAGTTTTCTGCGTTCAAAAAAACGACTGTAAACTGAAATGCCTGTAAATGACTGTAAACGAAGATGTGTACATGGACACATAGGAAAACATTAGGGAGAGTTCAGGACTGCTGAAAAAAACCGCTGAACATCTCCTAAACGTGAGTTTATCAGCTGCAGTGTACAAGAGCCCTAAACGTACACCAGAATTTAACCCTTGCAGTGCGGGGACAGCCCCACTGCAATGGAGGATTTTTTCTTTTCCCCTGAATCAGGCTATATACAGTGAATTGGTTTACCTGGCAAAAGATTTGTAATCCCAGAACCTGTTGTGATTCCCTTACCCTGCCATAATCCATAGCCGAAGAAAAGGTCAAAACAAGGTGCCAGACATGGATCCTTAACCAATTTAGCCAATAGAAAGATGTTATTTTTTATCCTACTGGCTTGGGTCAGCTCTACACAAATTTGGGGGTCCCCCAGGCTTCACACATGGAGAAATCCATGTGTAGTCGAGCCAATAAGAGCACCAAACAAATGTCTGAAGAGTCCACAGTCTTGTATTATTTCTTTCAACGACAACAGGAAAGTAAGAAGGATTCAACACGTTTCAGGGACCAAAAAAATCCCCCTTCATCGGGACTTAAAGACTGTATCAATGTGTGCTGTACACTAAACAAGAGAGCTCCTGGGCGTATACATCTATATTAGTAAATCTGTGGCAGAAGACAAGTCTGAAAGTAATCATACTGGTATCAGCCGCAGAAATAATATTTATCATAGAGTTCAAGCCTTGATGAAGGGGGAATTTTTGACTTCTGAAACGCGTTGACTGTTTCTTACTGTCACGTACCTGATGGGAGACTGAATTGACGAGGTCGGCCTTACTTGTGTCACTAGGCCTGACCCCGCTGATGCTGGAACAGAGGGAGTCTAGGGACCGGGGGGACAAGAGCGCCAGTGATTGTTGCTTGCAGCTCTTGCAGATGATGATCTTGGAAGAGCTCTGATTTGGACACCGTAATAATAGACAAAGCAGGTTCTGTGGATTGCCAGACGTGCAGCAGACCAAGGTAGGTAGTGAGGACAAGAGACTGGAGCAGAGTGATGGGATAGCCAGGGTCATCAACAGTCGGGCAGCGCGGTACAGAATCAGAAGGAAAAGCCAAAGTCAGGAGCAGAGCCGAAGTCAGGCACCGATAGCAGGAGAGTAATCGCAGTCAGGTCAGGAACAAGCCGGGTTGGTAACGGAGGAATCGTACAGGAACAAGCAGGACACGGGGGGAGCTGAAGACCAGTCAGCACTGAACCTGAGCAGAGGCACTTCTTAAATGGGCTATCTGGCGCCAATCTTCGCCATGCGCGATCGCTCGTTCCTGCAACCGGCAATTCTGCATGAATTCCTATGCGCATGCGCGTTCCCAATCGCGATTCTTCTTGCCTGAAATCCCTTACACTTACTCTCCAGTTGACATTTGTGAAACCAATAAAAGACTTTGGACTTGAGACATTTGTTTGGTGTTCCTGTTGGCTCAACTACATGTGGACATCTGAATTTAGGTGACCCTTGCCTCCTGATAGACCCCCATATTTAAAGTGGAAGTAAAGGTAAAACCTAACTATCTCTAAACCTGCTCTCAGTCACAGTCTAAGTCTAATCTATCTAGCCCTGTAAAGAGAAAAATGATATACTTATCTATTCTGCAACCGCTCCGCTTTGGTCCCAGGCATAGCTGTCAGCGGCAACTTCGGTGTGCAGGTGAAGCAGCTGATGGATCCCCATAGTAAATCTATGGATGATGTCACTTCCCAGGCATTTGTTAGCCATTGTCGGCTTTCTCCTGCACACAGAGGGCGCCACTGGAGACCGGACCGGCTTCATAGAAGGTAAGTATACAGTTGCAAGAAAAATTATGTGAACCCCTTGGGATTACATGGAGTTTTGCATGAATTTGGCATAAAATGTGCTCTGAACGTCATCTAAGTCACAACAATAGAAGAACACAGTCTGCTGAACATAATACTACACAAACATTGCAGATGTGTCAACAAAAATGTTAGCATGTGCCAGAGATTTCTGTAGGTCTTTAGCGGACACTCTGGGATTCTTCTTTACCTCATGCACCATTCTGCGCTGTGCTCTTGCAGTTATTTTTACAGGACGACCATGCCTAGGGAGAGTAGCAACAGTGCTAAACTTTCTCCATTTGTAGACAGTCTGTTTTACCGTGGACACATGAACATCAAGGCTTTTGGAGATACTTTTGTAACCCTTTCCAGCTTCATGCAAGTCAACAATTCTTGATCGTAGGTCTTCTGAGAGCTCTTTTCTGCGAGGCATGGTTCACGTCAGACAGTGCTTCTTGAAACCAGTAAACCCAAAACAGGTGTGTGTTTTTTAAGGGCAGGACAGCTGTCAGCAAACACATCCAATATCATCACACTGATTGGAGTCAAGGTTGGCTCACTCCTGGCTCCAATTAGCTCTGGGAGAAGTCATTAAGCTGGGGCCTCACATACTTTTTCCTCCCTGCACTGTGAATGTTTACATGTTATGTGCAATTAAACCATGGCAACATCTAATGTTTTCTGTAGTATTATGTTCAGCAAACTGTGTTCTTCTATTGTTGTTACTTAGATGATGTTCAGAGCACATTTTATGCCCAATTCATGCAAAACTCCACGTAATCCCAAGGGGTTCACATACTTTTTCTTGCAACTGTAGCACTTTTTTCTTTACAAGGTTTCTTTCTTAGGCTTAGAATGTGGCCTCAAACAATGTTTTTTTTTCCAGCAGCCAAAGATCTCTTGAAACGTTTGGTGATCTTATTGGCTCAACTACACGTGGACTTCTCAGTTTAGGTGATCCTTACCTCCTAGAGGACCCCCAGATTTATGGAGAACTGTGAACCCATACCAGTAGCTTCAAATAATTACATGTATTTTTCTATTGACCAAGTATCTCTTGAGATGTTTGATGATCTTATTGGCTCAACTACATGTGGACTGTTAAATGTACCTTCTGGTTGACCCCTAGATTTACGCAGAGCTGCAAATTCAAGCCAGTAGCCTCAAATCATGAAACGTTTCTATTAATCAAGGATCTCTTGAAACGTGTGGTGATCCTATTGGCTCAACTACATGCAGACTTTTCAGATTGGTGATGCTTACCTCCTGGTTTACTCACAGATTTATGGAGAGCTGCAAATCCAAGCCAGTAGCCTCAATGAAGACATTTTTCTATCGACCAAGGATCTCTTGAGATGTTTGATGATCTTATTAGCTCAACTACACATGGAATTTTAAATTTAGGTGATCCTTACCTTCTGGTTGACCCCTAGATTTATGCAGATCTGCAAATTCAAGCCGGTAGCCTCAAATGATGACATTTTTCTATCAGTCAAGGATTTCTTTAGACGGTAGGTGATTTTATTGGTTCAACTACAAGTGGACTTCTCAATTTAGGTGATCCTTACGTTTTGGTGGATCTCTAGATTTATGGAGAGCTGCGAATCCAAGCTAATGGCCTCAAATGATGACATTATTCTATCAGCCAAGGATCTCTTGAGACGTTTTTTTGACACACTGCATTGCATAGCCGGGCAGCTTATACCACCAATTTACTGTTTCAGCTTTGTGTCTTCTTGTGCCACCTGCCTTATTATTGGACAAAATCAAACAAACCATCGCAGTGTGATTTGCTCACTAGTTGTCTATCCTCACCACAGTTACAGAATGACCTTAGCACAGACACAATGATAAAAATTAAACTGAAACAATGTTGCGAAGAAAAGAACAATCCAAGAAAAGAAGAAGTCTCCCTTTGTATTGACAGAAAGATTCCTTCCTTCAGCCTTCCAGTTTTGCGTAATTTCAGAGTGAAACACTCAGCTAACTACGACATATAACAAAGATCCCGGAGTGCACTGCCAGTACATTGTGCGTTCTTTGTTATATAATGCTTATTGGAGGGGAATTCATCACAGTGACATCACTGTCCAGTGAGCAGGTACAGTTGCAAGAAAAAGTATGTGAACCCCTTGGGATTATGGAGTTTTGCATGAATTGGGCATAAAATGTGCTCTGAACGTCATCTAAGTCACAACAATAGAAGAACACAGTCTGCTGAACATAATACTACACAAACATAAGATGTTGCCATGGTTTAATTGCACATAACATGTAACCATTCACAGTGCAGGGAGGAAAAAGTATGTGAGGCCCTAGCTTAATGACTTCTCCCAGAGCTAATTGGAGCCAGGAGTGAGCCAACCTTGACTCCAATCAGTGGGATGATATTGAATGTGTTGCTGACAGCTGTCCTGCCCTTAAAAAAACACATACCTGTTTTGGGTTTACTGGTTTCAAGAAGCACTGTCTGATGTGAACCATGCCTCGCAGAAAAGAGCTCTCAGAAGACCTACGATCAAGAATTGTTGACTTGCATGAAGCTGGAAAGGGTTACAAAAGTATCTCCAAAAGCCTTGACGTTCATGTGTCCACGGTAAGACAGACTGTCTACAAATGGAGAAAGTTTAGCACTGTTGCTACTCTCCCTAGGCATGGTCGTCCTGTAAAAATGACTGCAAGAGCACAGCACAGAATGCTGCATGAGGTAAAGAAGAATCCCAGAGTGTCAGCTAAAGACCTACAGAAATCTCTGGCACATGCTAACATTTTTGTTGACACATCTACAATAAGGAAAACATTAAACAAGAATGGAGTACATGGGAGGACACCACGGAGGAAGCCATTGCTGTCCAAAAAGAATATTGCAGCACGTTTGAAGTTTGCAAAAGAGCACCTGGATGTTCCACAGCACTACTGGCAAAATATACTGTAGACAGATGAAACCAAGATTGAGTTGTTTGGGAAGAACACACAACACTATGTGTGGAGAAAAAAAGGCACAGCACACCAACATCAAAACCTCATCCCCACTGTGAAACATGGCGGAGGGAGCATCATGGTTTGGGGCTGCTTTGCTGCCTCAGGGCCTGGACGGATTGTTGTCATTGATGGGAAAATGAATTCCAGAGTTTATCAAGACATTTTGCAGCAGGAAAACGCACGACCATCTGTCCGCCAACTGAAGCTCCGCAGAGGATGGGTGATGCAACAGGACAATGACCCAAAGCATACAAGTAATTCAACAAAACAATGGCTGCAACAGCACAGAATACGCCTTCTGGAGTGGCCCAGTCAGAGTCCTGACCTCAACCCGATTGAAATGCTGTGGCATGACCTTAAGAGAGCGATTCACACCAGACATCCCAAGAATATTGCTACACTGAAACAGTTTTGTGAAGAGAAGTGGTCCAAAATGACTCCAGATCGTTGTGCAGGTCTGATCTGCAACTACAGGAAACGTTTGGTTGAGGTTATTGCTGCCAAAGGAGTGTCAACCAGTTATTAAGTCCAAAGGTTCACATACTTTTTCCTCCCTGCACTGTGAATGTTTACATGTTATGTGCAATTAAACCATGGCAACATCTAATGTTTGTGTAGTATTATGTTCAGCAGACTGTGTTCTTCTATTGTTGTGACTTGATGACGTTCAGTCAAGCACATTTTATGCCCAATTCATGCAAAACTCCACGTAATCCCAAGGGGTTCACATACTTTTTCTTGCAACTGTAGGTCACCTGTCTGGGCAGGCAATGTGGCCGGAATCACAGTTACACTGTGCTTCTTCTACCTCTTGCTCCCTTTGGCAACGAAGCAGCAAAGGCAAAGACTGTATGTGTAACTGTTGGGACTGCCATTAAAGTGATCCTGTTGCTTTGCTCTGCATAGGCTCACTTGTTCCTTTCACACTTGAGAGATTTGAAATGCGTTTACAGAAGAACTTCAGTGCTTGACAGGCAGATTTCCATGTTGTCCTATTGTGCCCATTCACATCAGAGACATGTGCTGTCATGTTTTTGCCCCCAATAGACTTCAGTGGGAGCACCTGATAGTGTGCTTTTGTGCCGAACCTCTCTTTCCTCTTCCTGATAATGCAAGGAGGTCGTATCTGATTTACCCGGAGTTGCCTTGGTTTAGAAAACGTGAGAGCAGGATAGATTTTTTTTTATTGCAATGAGATACCAGGTTTCATCTGCAATAAAGACTTCTTACCTTCCTCTATGCAAGATGATTTAGAACAGCCTTTCTCAATGTTTTTATATACCAGAGGAACCCTTATAAATATTTTTCAAATCTCAGGGAACCTCTGTTAAAATGAATGCAGTCAGTAGTAGATCTTCCCTTACATTGATGATCAGTGGGAAGAATGCTCCTTACATTGATCAGTGGGAAGAATGACCTTTACAATGGTGGTCAGTGGAAAGAATGTCCCTTACATTGGTGATCAGTGGGAAGAATGCTCCTTACATTGGTGGTCAGTGGGAATAATGCTCCTTACATTGGTGGTCAGTGAGAAGAATGCCCCTTACATTGGTGATCAGTGGGAAGAATGCTCCTTACATTGGTGGTCAGTGAGAAGAATGCTCCTTACATTGGTGGTCAGTGAGAAGAATGCTCCTTACATTGATGATCAGTGGGAAGAATGCTCCTTACATTGGTGGTCAGTGGGAAGAATGCTCCTTACATTGGTGGTCAGTGGGAAGAATGCTCCTTACATTGGTGGTCAGTGGGAAGAATGTCCCTTACATTGGTGATTAGTGGGAAGAATGCCCCTTCAGGTGATCAGTGGGAAGAATGCTCCTTACATTGGTGATCAGTGAGAAGAATGATCCTTACATTGGTGGTCAGTGGGAAGAATGCTCCTTACATTGGTGGTCAGTGGGAAGAATTCCCCTTCCATTGGTGATCAGTGGGAAGAATGCTCCTTACATTGGTGGTCAGTGGGAAGAATACCCCTTACATTGGTGATCAGTGGGAAGAATACCCCTTAGTGGGAAGAATGCTCCTTACATTGGTGAACAGTGGGAAGAATGCCCCTTACATGGTGAACAGTGGGAAGAATGCTCCTTACATTGGTGATCAGTGGGAAGAATACCCCTTACATTGGTGATCAGTGGGAAGAATACCCCTTACATTGGTGGTCAGTGGGAAGAATGCTCCTTACATTGGTGATCAGTGGGAAGAATGCCCTTACATTGGTGAACAGTGGGAAGAATGCTCCTTACATTGGTGATCAGTGGGAAGAATGCCCCTTACATTGGTGAACAGTGGGAAGAAATGCTCCTTACATTGGTGATCAGTGGGAAGAATGCTCCTTACATTGGTGGTCAGTGAGAAGAATGTCCCTTACATTGGTGGTCAGTGGGAAGAATTCCCCTTACATTGGTGATCAGTGGGAAGAATGCTCCTTACATTGGTGATCAGTGGGAAGAATGCCCCTTCCATTGGTGATCAGTTGGAAGAATGCTCCTTACATTGGTGATCAGTGGGAAGAATGCTCCTTACATTGGTGATCAGTGGGAAGAATGCTCAGTGATCAGTTGGGAAGAATGTTGATCAGTGGGAAGAATGTTCCTTACATTGGTGATCAGTGGGAAGATTGTTCAGTGGGAAGAATGTATATTGGTGGTCAGTGGGAAGAATGTTCCTTATTGGTGATCAGTGGGAAGAATGCCCCTTACATTGGTAATCAGTGGGAAGATTGTCCCTTACATTGGTGGGACAGTGGGAAGGATTTTCCCTTACATTGGGGGTCAGTGGGAAGATTGTCCCTTACATTGGTGATCAGTGGGAAGAATGTTCCTTACATTGGTGGTCAATCAGAAGAATGCTTCTTAAATTGATGGTCAGTGGGAAGAATACTGGCGTTTTCACCTCCTAATGCCTTGCTTTATTAGCTTTTTTTTTTAATTGTGTTTAGCTCATGTTTGTGATGTTACCCCATTTACTTACATGAGAAAGTTTGACAGGTGGTGCCACAACAATGTGCACTCATCTGAGCATCCGCATGTCCACTTGTCGGTGGGAAGTAAAAACATGGATCAACCGCCTATTTTTACTGCCCCCTGGCCACCCATGTGAAATGAGCCTTAATGTACTTGAATGATGTCATGTGTTGTATGTGTAATTGATCACCTCCCCACCCTTGGCATAGTGGAAGTGTATTATTGTGCAGTAACCAGCTATGATTAAGGCCTTGTAGGCTAAAATGCGTTCACAAGTACTACTTGAGGAGACTCTGTGTGCCAGTAATTGCTTTTGCGCATCTCTTTTTGGTCCGTTGTGGTATGCTGGGCAGCCCATCGAATAGAATACGGTGCCCTAATGCATTGTACGTTGATGCAAACCATTGCGCATGCGTTTAACACGCTGCAATGGTTCAGACCGGTGTGAATGGGCCTTCAGGTCTCCTTAGTCTAGTCTCCCTGACCGAGTCCTCTCTTTGCACCTTTCCTGTTCTATATACAGTAGTAAAAAAAAAATGTGTTCAGAAACATGAACGGGTCAAAAAATGATCTCAAGCGGGAAATATACAGCAAAAGCGAACGGATCATGAATGAAAAGTTAGCAGTGTGGTTAGCCTTTGTGGGCAGGGTAACTCCAGGACAGCGCAGCCAGATGGGAGCCGGATAGTAGGCACAATTCAGTTGTATTCAATGAAAAATGTGCAGCGCGCTCGCGCTCCGGCCAGACAAACGCTGTTTGTGCCCCAGAACTGTACCACTTGTGATCCGCCGTGTTTACTCCTATGAATCAAGAGGAGCGTGCTACCTCTCCCCAGCCAATGCGATCGCAGCAGACGCACGGGAACCAAAGACCGGTCAGTCTCCCTCTTTGCTCTCTGATTCTGGCGTCAATCTTGATACCGATCTTGAATAAGCCTCCTATATATACAAGCCGTAACATTCCCGGATTAGGGAACACCTTCCGTAAAAACGCACATATCAGGGCGTACGCTTTCCTGAGGTGTGCCTGAAGATGTGACAAAAAGAAAAAATCACAGAGCTTGCTTTCCGTTCAGTAACTTGACTGTGTAATAAGAATACGATGCATTCGAAAACGGAATCCACTAATGACAGGGCATGCTGGGATCTGTAGTTCTGAGGTCGCCGAAGACTTAGGGCTCATTCATAGCAGGAGGGGCAGGCTTTTCTGTGCGTTTTAAGGCAACCACTGAAGGCTAAACATCAAAAAATAATAATAAAAATAATACAGGGGCAAATAATCAAAACTGAAAAATTATATGTGAAAGTTCAAAGAAAAAGTCCCAAATTAAAGTCCAATACCCCCAAAAAATGTGAAAAAATTATTATTTACTCAAACTTTATAAAGTTTCCAGCTTGCTCACATCTTCTGTGAAAAACATTTTGTAGATCTGTACTCACCAAATTTATTTATTTTTTTTCAGGTACTTCTATATTGCCATCAATTTACACAGCGCTTTACATATATATTGTACATTCACATCAGTCCCTAACCCTCAAGGGGTGTACAATCTAAGGTCCCTAACCCTCAAGGGGTGTACAATCTAAGGTCCCTAACTCACATTCATAAATCACACATACTAGGGACAATTTAGACAGGAGCCAATTCACCTACCAACATGTCTTTGGAGTGTAGGAGGAAACCGGAGTACCTGGAGGAAACCCACGCAGGCACAGGGAGAACATGCAAACTCCAGGCAGGAGGTGTTGTGGTTGGGATTCGAACCAATGACCCTACTACTGCCAGGGGGAAGTGCTAACCATTTAGCCACTGTGTGCGGCCCCAATAATAAAAATAATACAGTACAAATAATCAAAACTTAAAAATTATATGTGAAAGTCCAAAGAAAAAGTGCCAAATTAAAGTCCAATACCCATAAAAATGTGAAAAAATTATTATTTCCTCAAACTTTATAAAGTTTCCAGCTTGCTTACATCTTCTGTGAAAAGCATTTTGTAGATCCGCACTCACCAAATGCTGTGAATTCCCAAACTGGTATGGCTTTAAGATGCACAAAAGGCAAGCCTTTTTTTAAATTTATTTTTATTTTATTTATATTTATTTTTCTTCGGATGTTTATTTAGATTTTTTTGTTATTAAAAAAAAAATTTATTACTTTTTTTTATTTTTATTTTTTATTTTTATTTGTATTGTTATTTTTATATGTTTTTTATTTTCTTTATTTTTTATTTCTTCGTATTATTATTTTTTGTTATTATTTATTTATTCACAGGTTTGATTATTTGTATTATTTGCGCTGTATTATTTTTATTATTTTTTTTTATGTTTAGTCAATCCTTGAACAGCAGCATTTAATTTTTCACTTCATTTTTCACTTATTTCCTTGGCGCAAGTTTGATACATATTTTTGTGTGGTAACCACTGAAGGCTGCACTATGTGCGAGAAACACGTAAAAAAAAAGGCGTGGCGCCATGCATTTTGGCGAATGCGAACGCACGTGTTTGCTAGATGCATGGGGGTTCTGTTAAGAATTAATGGCGCCTGCATGCGTCTGTAAAAGGTTGCGCATTTTTGTGCAGTGTGGGGAAACGCACCCTGGTGTGAACAAGCCTGAGTTTCACATTGCGATTTCTGCTGTGACAGGTGCGAATTGAATGCGATTTTTGAGGGGACTGGGCATAGCAGGGGATGAAATTCACACCACACCCGCACTAAACTCGCATAGGATCCTGTTTTGGACCGGATCAAATTCACACAGCATATACCGTATTTTTCGCTCCATAAGACGCACTTTCCCCCCCCAAAAAAATGCTGGAAAATGTCTGTGCGTCTTATGGAGAGGCTGGCCCAGTATTCCCGCCGCCGTGTTAGAATACCGGGCCAGCCGCTCGGCTTTTCTGTGCAGCATAACCTGCTCCTCGGTCCAGCGGTGTCCTCACCGTCTTCTCTCCCCGGTGCCGGCATCTTTAGTGTGGGCACCCGGCTGTGACAGCTTGCGGCTTCACAGCCGGGTGCCCACTGCACATGTGCAAGAAGCGCTGAGCTTTGTGAATGGCCCTGTAGTCTTCTGGAACCTGTCACATGTCCCAGAAGACTACAGGGAGGGAGGACATATCCACGGAACTGGGAGCAGGTACCTGTCATATTTGGGTACCCGCCCCCCTCCGCTCCCCCAAACGTCTGCAGTCTCTGGTCATCTCCTGTACTATGTCCGCAGTCTCTGGTCATCTCCTATACTATGTCCGCAGTCTCTGGTCATCTCTTGTACTACGTCCGCAGTCTCTGGTCATCTCCTGTACTATGACCACAGTCTCTGGTCATCTCCTGTACTATGTCCACAGTCTCTGGTCATCTCCTGTACTATGTCCGCAGTCTCTGGTCATCTCCTGTACTGTGTCCGCAGTCTCTGGTCATCTCCTGTACTGTGTCTGCAGTCTCTGGTCATCTCCTGTACTATGTCCGCAGTCTCTGTTCATCTCCTGTACTGTCCGCAGTCTCTGGTCATCCCCTGTACTATGTCCGCAGTCTCTGGTCATCTCCTGTACTGTGTCCGCAGTCTCTGGTCATCTCCTGTACTATGTCCGCAGTCTCTGGTCATCTCCTGTACTATGTCCGCAGTCTCTGGTCATCTCCTGTACTATGTCCACAGTCTCTGGTCATCTCCTGTACTGTGTCCGCAGTCTCTGGTCATCTCCTGTACTATGTCCGCAGTCTCTGGTCATCTCCTGTACTATGTCCGCAGTCTCTGGTCATCTCCTGTACTATGTCCGCAGTCTCTGGTCATCTCCTGTACTGTGTCCGCAGTCTCTGGTCATTTCCTGTAATGTGTCCGCAGTCTCTGGTCATCCCCTGTACTGTGTCTGCAGTCTCTGGTCATCTCCTGTACTGTGTCCGCAGTCTCTGGTCATCTCCTGTACTGTGTCTGCAGTCTCTGGTCATCTCCTGTACTGTGTCCGCAGTCTCTGATCATCTCCTGTACTATGTCCGCAGTCTGGTCATCTCCTGTACTATGTCCGCAGTCTCTGGTCATCTCCTGTACTATGTCCGCAGTCTCTGGTCATCTCCTGTACTATGTCTGCAGTCTCTGGTCATCTCCTGTACTGTGTCCGCAGTCTCTGGTCATCTCCTGTACTGTGTCCGCAGTCTCTGGTCATCTCCTGTACTGTGTCCGCAGTCTCTGGTCATCTCCTGTACTGTGTCTGCAGTCTCTGGTCATTTCCTGTACTATGTCCGCAGTCTCTGGTCATCTCCTGTAATGTGTCTGCAGTCTCTGGTCATTTCCTGTACTATGTCCGCAGTCTCTGGTCATTTCCTGTACTATGTCCGCAGTCTCTGGTCATTTCCTGTACTATGTCCGCAGTCTCTGGTCATCTCCTGTACTATGTCTGCAGTCTCTGGTCATCTCCTGTACTATGTCCGCAGTCTCTGGTCATCTCCTGTACTGTGTCCGCAGTCTCTGGTCATCTCCTGTACTGTGTCCGCAGTCTCTGGTCATCTCCTGTACTATGTCCGCAGTCTCTGGTCATTTCCTGTACTATGTCCGCAGTCTCTGGTCATCTCCTGTACTGTGTCCGCAGTCTCTGGTCATCTCCTGTACTATGTCCGCACTCTCTGGTCATTTCCTGTACTATGTCCGCAGTCTGGTCATTTCCTGTACTATGTCCGCAGTCTCTGGTCATTTCCTGTACTATGTCCGCAGTCTCTGGTCATTTCCTGTACTATGTCCGCAGTCCATTGGTTCAGAATATTTTTTTCTGTATTCCTCCTCTAAAACCTAGGTGCGTCTTATGGTCGGGTGCGTCTTATGGAGCAAAAAATACAGTATATGTGAACAGCCTGCATTGGAAAAAATGCTTTTGTAGATTACATGTAAATCTATGCTTTTTAAATCGCATCTGATCTGCATAGAATTCGCATCAGTGCAATCGACACTTACACTTGTAAGGACTCAGTCACACCTGGAGGTGCATCAAAGCACGCACGCTTTTTTTCTGCATTCCCGCATGCTGTGTGTTAGGACAGCCCGTGAATTGCATTGCGCAAAAAAAAGTGTGGACACAATTTTGAAAATTGCGCCTCAGCAAAACACATGGTACCGCAGCACCACGCCTTTGGGCATGCATGAACATGCGTGTGTTTGCTAGATGGGCGGGGGCGTCGTAAAGAAATGAATGGCACTTGAGTGCATCTGTAAACGGCAGGGCATTTTTGTGCTGTGCAGGGTAACGCATGATTTTGTACGCCTTCACGCACTGCACCTGATGTGAACAAGCCCTTACACTTGAGAGGACTCATTAACAGCAGGAGGTGTGTCTGAGCGTGCATGTTTTTTTTTTGCGCAGTCCTATGCATTTTAGGGTATCCTGTTAATTTCAGTGAGCTGCCCTATGTGTGCGAAAAAAGTGCCAGCAGGCGCAGGTGTATGGCGTTTAGAAGCATATGCATGTGAAGTCATTCTGTTGGCTATACCTACATGGAAGAAAAATATTTTAAAAAATATTCTTCTCAAATATATTGACATATATTTGAAATGCTACAATTTTTGCCATATTCAATATACTGTATTTCAAAATATATTTCAATTAAAAAAATAAATATATATATATACACTGCATGTTGAAATGCGTTTTTATTACGAAATATCTGAAAAATATTTAAAAAAATACATTTCAAATATACCGTATGTCTTTAAAAATACAAATCTACATTTTTGGAATGCATTTACAAATATAAGTAAAAATACAGTTGTGTCCAAAATTATTCAACCCCCACTGAAATTGAGTGTTTTGGCCAGTTTGACATTGCTTTTGATCATTCAGTCATCTTGCTTACATTTACATTAAAGAGGCACTTGTAGGTCAGACAAATATAAACATAACAGTTATAATGAAATAACCACAAATGTCTTTTCTGTGCTCACAGCATTATCAGTTTTATTCAACCCCAAGTGACATTCAATCTTAGTACTTAGTACAGCATCCTTTTACAGTTATAACAGCTTTTAAACGTGAAGCATAGCTTGACACAAGTGTCTTGCAGCGATCTACGGGTATCTTCGCCCATTCTTCATGGGCAAAGGCCTCCAGTTCAGTCACATTCTTAGGCTTGCGCACTGCAACTGCTTTCTTTAAGTCCCACCAGAGGTTCTCAATCGGATTTAAGTCTGGTGACTGCGATGGCCACTCCAAAATGTTCCAGCCTTTCCTCTGCAACCATGCTCTAGTGGACTTGGAGGTATGCTTGGGATCATTGTCCTGTTGAAAGGTCCAACGTCTCCCAAGCCTCAGGTGTGTGACGGACTGCATCACGTTTCCATCCAATATCTCCTGGTACTGAAGAGAATTCATGGTACCTTGCACACGCTGAAGCTTCCCTGTACCTGCAGAAGCAAAACAGCCCCAAAGCATGATTGACCCTCCACCATGCTTCACAGTAGGCAAGGTGTTCTTTTCATCATAGGCCTTGTTCTTCCTCCTCCAAACATAGCGTTGATCCATGGGCCCAAACAGTTCTAATTTTGTTTCATCAGTCCACAGAACACTATCCCACAACTTTTGTGGTTTGTCCACATGGCTTTTGGCATACTGCAGTCGACTCTTCTTATTCTTTGGAGACAGCAAGGGGGTACGCCTGGGAGTTCTGGCACGGAGGCCTTCATTACGCAGTGTGCGTCTTATTGTCTGGGCTGAAACTTCTGTACCCACATCTGACAAATCTTTTCTCAGTTCTCAGCAGTCACACGGGGACTTCTCTCCACTCTACGCTTCAGGTAGCGCACAGCAGTCGAAGTCAGCATCTTCTTTCTGCCACGACCAGGTAGCGTTTCAACAGTGCCCTTTGCCTTGAATTTGCGAATGATGCTTCCTAAGGTGTCTCTTGGTATGTTTAACATCTTTGCAATCTTCTTATAGCCATTGCCCTTCCTGTGAAGAGAAATCACCTCTTCTCTTGTCTTCCTGGACCATTCTCTTGCCTTCACCATGTTTGTAACCACACCAGTAAATGTCTAGAAGGAGCTGAGTATCACAGTCATTTTAAAGCTGCCTAATTGGTGCTTATTATGCTTGATTGCTGCTCGGTGACATCCACAGGTGTTTTCAATACCTGATGGAAAGCACCTGTATGAACCTCTGTTCTTCAGAGTGGTAGTCTTTAAGGGGTTGAATAATTGTGGCAATGAAGAAACCACATAAGAACCATTTACTACTGTATTACATAAACAATTGATGTCATTTTAGTTGCATTTGGGTAGTTACAACGTCCTTGTAGGATTTGATTCTGAATACAATTCCAAATGTACACTATAGTCCCTAAACCCCTTTACAGCATTGGGGGTTGAATAATTTTGGACACAACTGTATATGTTAAATTTTAATGAAGCTTAGCAAATGCCCCGTGTGTGTGTGTTGATTTTCTATTTGTTTTAAAGTGGCCCAGTAAACCCTGGCTCAGTAGTATCGCCACTCTGCAGATCCCCAGCTCATTAGTACACCTGTTCAGCAGATCCCCTGCTCGGTAGTACCCCCAGTTCTGTAGATCTCCAGCTCATTAGTACAGTACACCTGTTTGGCAGATCCCCAGGTTATTAGTATCCTTGTTCAACAGATCCACTGCTCGGTAGTACCCCCAGCTCTGCAGATCTCCAGCTCATTAGTACAGTACACCTGTTCGGCAGATCCCCAGGTTATTAGTATCCTTGTTCAACAGATCCCCTGCTCGGTAGTACCCCCAGCTCTGCAGATCTCCAGCTCATTAGTACAGTACACCTGTCTGGCAGACCCCCAGGTTATTAGTATCCTTGTTCAACAGATCCCCTGCTTGGTAGTACCCCCAGCTCTGCAGATCTCCAGCTCATTAGTACAGTACACCTGTCTGGCAGACCCCCAGGTTATTAGTATCCTTGTTCAACAGATCCCCTGCTTGGTAGTACCCCCAGCTCTGCAGATCTCCAGCTCATTAGTACAGTACACCTGTCTGGCAGATCCCCAGGTTATTAGTATCCTTGTTCAACAGATCCACTGCTTGGTAGTACCCCCAGTTCTGCAGATCTCCAGCTCATTAGTACAGTACACCTGTTTGGCAGATCCCCAGGTTATTAGTATCCTTGTTCAACAGATCCCTTGCTCGGTAGTACCCCCAGCTCTGCAGATCTCCAGCTCATTAGTACAGTACACCTGTTTGGCAGATCCCCAGGTTATTAGTATCCTTGTTCAACAGATCCCTTGCTCGGTAGTACCTCCAGCTCTGCAGATCTCCAGCTCATTAGTACAGTACACCTGTCTGGCAGATCCCCAGGTTATTAGTATCCTTGTTCAACAGATCCCCTGCTCGGTAGTACACCCAGCTCTGCAGATCTCCAGCTCATTAGAACAGTACACCTGTTCAGCAGATCCCCAGGTTATTAGTATCATTGTTCAACAGATCCCTTGCTTGGTAGTATCCCCAGCTCTGCAGATCTCCAGCTCATTAGTACTTCCAGCTCTGCTGATCCCCCGCTTACTAGTAACCCCCAGCTCTAATGAGCCTCTAGTTTGATGATCCCCCTCTCTCTCTGGTCCCCGGTCACCTAGCACTATATTTCCCCACCACGTGTGGCATGTGCTAGTTTCTCCTGCTCTGGTCCCCCAGCTCTGCTGATCCTCCACCGTTCAGTCCTCTCTCTCCGGTCCCTGCTCACCTTCTGCTATAGCGTTCCCATGTTGCTCACCATGTGTGCTGTCTGCTGGTTGCTCCTCTCCACTCTGGACCCCGCTCATTTCCTGCTGCTCCACGTTGCACACCAGATGTGACGTCTGCACCAGACACTCCCAGAATACATACACATGAACCGGAAGTGACTGCTAATGACGTCTTTCCTGTTCACTTGGCTTCCCATATCTCATACCTCCAAAACAAAGTGAAGCTAACTCTGAATAAAAAACACACAAATGCTGCAGGTGCCTTTAGCGAGCGTTGTCATAGACTTCTATGGAGGCTTTGAAGACGCTTTGCACCAAGAAAGCAGCATGGCGTAATGTTTGAAGCAAAGCAAACGCAACAGTGTGAACAGGACTGTGAGGTAACCATTTTATTTAGTGAGAGGTGCTTTGATTGGCATTCAGGAT